CTAAAGCAGGAATGCAGCACTGCAGGTGGAAGATTCAGTTTATGTGCTGGATGGGACCAGGGCAGGCAAGTAATCCTATCCTCATCACTCTGGTGGGGTTGTTTGAAGTGTTGTTTTCAGACAGAATCTGCAGCAGTCATAGAATCATGTAATCATAGAATGGCTTGGGTTGGAAGGAACTCCCTCATCATGGACAAGGATGCCACACACTAGATCAGGCTGCCCAGGGCCCCATCCAACGTGGCCTTGAACTCTTTCAGGAATGGGGCAGCCACAGCTTCCCTGGGTCAATGGTTCCATTGGCTCACCACCGTCTGTGTAAGAATTTATTCCTAACATCTAATCTAAATCTTTCCTCTTTTATTTCAAACTGTTCCCCTAGTTGTCCTATCAGTATCTGCCTCTGTAAAAAGTTGCTCTCCATCTTTCTTATAAGCCCCCTTCACATCCTGAAAAGCCTCAATGAGATCTACCCAGAGCCTTCTCTTCTCCATGCTAATAACCTCAGGTCTCTCAGCCTGTCTTCAAAGGAGAGTTGCTCCAGCCCACTGAGCATCTTTTTGGCCTCCTTTGGACCTGATCTAACAGGTACATGTCTTTCTTCTGCTGAAGACTCCAGGTCTGGACACAGTACTCCAGGTGGGGTCTCATGAGGGCAGAATAGATGCAAAGATTCACTTCCCTCAGCCTGCCAGTCACACCTTTTCTGATGCAGCAGAGGATGCAGTTGGCTTTGTGGGCTGCAAATGCAAACTGTTGGCTCGTGTACATCTTTTCATCTACCAGAACACCACAGGGCTGCTCTTAATGTGAATGTGACTCATGTCCCAGTCTGTACTCATGTCTGGGATTGTCCTGATATAAGTGCTGCACCTTGCATTGAATTTCTTAATTTTCATGAGGTTTTCATGTGCTCACTTCTCAAATTTGTCCAGGTCCCCCTGGTTAGCCCTATCCTTCTGTAGTGTCATCTGTACTGCTCAACTTCGTGTCATCTGCAAATGTGCTGAGGAGGCACTCAATCTCATGTCTCCATCATTGAAGAAAAATATTAAAAAGCACTGATCTCAAGACAGACCCCTGAGAGACATCTCTCATGATTGGCCTCCACCTGATCATAGAGCCATTGACCAAAACTCCCTGTCTATGTCCATCCAGCCATTTCCATATTCACAATAGTACACCCTTCAAATCCATGTCTCTCCAATTTGGAGATAAGGATGTTGTGTGGGACCATTTCAAAGACCGGACAGAAGTTCAGGCAGAGGACATTGGTCAGTCTTCCTTTGTTGACTGTTTCAGTCCCTCCACCATAGAAAGCCACCTGGTTGCTCAGACACGAGTTGCCCTCAGAGAAGCTTTGCTGGCTGTTGTGGATCACCTCCTTGTCTTGTATGTGATTTAAAATTGCTTCCATGAGGATCTGCTCCATGATCTTTCCAGGCACAGAGGTGGGGTTCACCAGTCTGTAGTTCCCCATGTCTTTTGTTTCCCCTCTTTGAAAATCCAATCTGCAACTGGATGCCCAAGGACTTCTGTGCATGAAGATGGTCCATGTCCTTCTCTATCCCTCCCTCCTCAGCTCACCCTGATGGGTGATCCTGTGTTATCTCCACATGTGTGCATTGGGCTGCTGGTTTTGACTCTGTCCTGCCTAACACTGTCCTCAGGAAAAATTTCAGGCTTGTTTTGACTTATCCACTCTCTGGTGAGTACATAAACATTGCCATGGGCTTGCCTGGGGCCTTGTCCTTCCCCACAACGCTCCAACCCTGCCTTGGTTGTCCCCAGGTGTCCTCAGCAGAGTTCACAGTAGGCTGTGTTCCTACATGTGTTCATGTCTTGGGTGATTTGTGTGCAGCCAGACTTGTATGAATGTACCAAATATTTGACAGGTCTACAAGAGCTTGTCTTTTTGTGTCTCTCCTCACAAACAGACTGTGTTGCTCATGGCAGGGGCACTCTCCATGGCTCAGTTCATGAGCTCTGCAAAGCAGCATTTTCCCAGCATCAGCAGGAGCTCAAGTGCCATTGAAAGGTAATGGCATCAGCCTCCTAGAAATCTCTCCAAGAGGCACTGTAATCCAACCCCTGTTTCCTGAACCCTCCTTCTGTTCTTATGAAGCTCACACTCCACTGCTGCTGATACCAAGCCCCAACAAGGACCATTTCCCACCAATTAAGATCCTTAGTTCCTTTCAGTGTACCAGCACTGGGACTGCCTCAGCATGGTGGGCAGTCCTCCTCTGCCTGCTTCACCAGGCCAGGGCACAGCTGCTAGAGAGTTTGAAAGGATGGGGTTGGCTTTATGGATCTGGAGAAAGGATAAGGAATCCTACCCTCCTTGTGCAGGCCATGTCCAAATAAATCTGCTTCCAGTGAATTGCTGGTGCTTTCAGGTGTGGGACACAGCTCTCCTTCATGCCAAAGCCGATGCCAAATGTATTTGTGCGATTCATTGACCTGGTGCTGTGTCAGCCTGAGATCTTGGCCCAAACAGATACAGAATTTAAGAATCACTGTACGTGATACCACTGTGCACTGGAGTGAAAGGGCAGAGCCACTGCATGTTGCCCAGGGAAAGCCAGGGAGATGCTGGGGCTACTGGGTAGACAAGTGTTGGTGGGGATGCCCCAACATTTGCTCTGTGGTTGGGCTGGTCCCTGCACGTGCCATTGCATCCCTGGGGCAGGGGTGGTGCCAGTGCCCTGGGGCACTGTGGAGCAGAGAGAGAATGGGGGACTCCAGGAGTGCCAGGTAGAACAAGGAACTGGATTGCCCATATATTGCCAATTCACCCAGTGACCGCAGTGCAGCTCTTGTGGGGGAGAAGGTGAGGCATGGGCATCACAGGAACATGTCCATTGGCCAAAGAGGTGGAGGGGTTCAGTGGCTCTGCCCCAAATCTCCGGCAGGAAGAATGTGCAGGGAAGTTTCCCTGTTGGTCCCTTCATGCAAAATTTAGCTTTGCCTTCATCAGCTCCTTCCCTGCATCCAGGCAATTGTAGATGTCTGAGATGTGCCAGCCTTTTAATCGATCCCTTAAGCTGAGAATGAAGGTTGAAAAAGAAATTTCAGAGTAGTACGCAGAAAAAATCCCTAAGTGTCTGTATTAATAGTGAAGCCAGATGTCCTTCACAGAAACTCAGAGAAGACGAATGCCAGGAGCATGTCATGGAAAGGAAGAGGAATGTGGGACACTGATAGGCCCAACTTTCTGTAGAGATACTCTGTGCTGTACTGTCATCAGCCCTGTTACCCACCATCTATAAATTGTGAAGGGATGGCTAAAAAGCAGGGATTTCCGACAGATATGCACAGGGTACAGATATTTTGTGGCACTGAGGCCTGCAGAACTTGGCTTACACAGCCTCCATCAACCTTATTGCCAAGAGTGATGTGTTCAGCACCTTGATACCTCTGTCATCCTAGTTCACCCCTGGTCAAACAGGCAAGAGGAGACAATGTTGTCAAAGGAGTTCACAACCTGACCCTCTGGAAGAACAGAACATCTGCCTGCATTTCAAGTTCCCAGATGGGGAAAGGGCAATTTACACAGTCTCCCTTGTGGATGGAAGGATGGACGGATGGATTCTGTTTATCAGGCTCTTCCTGACTGAGGCCTCTAAAGTGCTTGTGATCAAAGTGCCCAAGAGCATCAGTCTAAGCAAGAGGGACTCCTATGGACAAAACTTGTCTGCCACAGAGAGCTCACAGATACGATTGAGTGTGTCCCATTGTCACCTCCACAGCTCAAGGGGTCTAGAATGACCTTGCACAGAGCTTTTCTGGAGCAGAGCTGGTTCTGACGCAGCAGGGCCGTGCAGGTGCTGAGCTTGAACATAGCTGCTCCACCCGAGCTTGGGAGTGACAAAGCTCCACCGGTCAGTGATGGGCCTGTGGGCACCAATTACTGTCCTTGGACTCCCTGGCCCGTGGGATTCCCGGGGACCCAAGCGTGAGACCCAGAGTGGTTAATCCCAATACTGACTTGTGAATGAACTCTGCCTGCCTGCCAAAACCTGGCTCCTGCCATGGGCCTCAGCAGTGGTAGGGCTGGATAGGGGAACTGACCCTGGCTGCCCATGCCCATGTGTGCTGGCCAGGCCCCAGACTGGGCAATGGAGGGGAGGAGAAGGAGAACATGAGGCCATGAGCCATCCCTGAGGCAATTCCACCCATCCACACTCCTGCTTTCCTTTGGGAACATCTTCTGTCTCCCCTGCCACAGCACTGACTAGAGCAACAGGTGCCCCATTCCCGTGATCCTACAAGGTGGCTTGTCTCCATGAGCTTCCATAGAATTCTAGCTGTCACTTGAGGACAGTAGAGGTTCTTGTAGGACCTGTGGGGAGATGTCTGGGCAGAGACACTGCAAGGCAAGGGCTGATTGCCACTTGGTCTGGGGTAGCTGAGAATATTTTACATACTGCCCTAGGATAGTGCCCTGAAGAGGACCTTCTGCAGCATGTCCCAGTCTCACATTTTTCTGGGTGAAGGATCTCCCTACATCGTCACCTTGACAGGATCAACACCATTACCCCGAGGCCATACACTGAGGGAAGGATCAGCTGGAGACTCAGGCTGAGATGTAAAAATCTTTATTGAGTTTAAAGATGGAATCAAGGTCACCACAAGCACAGGACTTCAGTGCGGTGGTCTGGAGGGACAAGAGACTTCACCTCTTGGCCATGGCGAAGTCCATGCAGGGCTTCCATTTGTCTTTGCTGTAGAGTGCAGGCTGGCTTGGAGGAGCCTTGCAGCCCAGGGAAGCAGAAGAAAAGAATGAAAAATGAGAAAAGGAGGTATGTAGAAATATCAAAGGAAAGACATGGGCCATGTTTTCAAAGTGCCCAGGCTGGCCCCTTCCTGCCAGCTTTCTTAGGAGGAGCTGAAGATGCTCAGTTCCTCTGAAAGAAATGACCTGAAGATTCTCTCTTTGTTCTCGATGTCTGGAGATCTTGGGGAAACCTCCCAAGACCTTAATATGCTCAGTATCTTTAGCAGGGGAGGCCTCTCCTGCCACCATAGCGCCTGGTGATGCAGGAGAGGTCAAAGCCCCCGGAGTTGATGGGCACTCCGTCACAGCTGAGGATGCTGCCAACGGCAGCGGAGGTGGAGGATCCCACCACGGTGTTCTGTGGGAAGGAGCTGAGGATGGGCCCGGGCAGGGTCACCAGCACAGCCGGCGGCTCAATGACGACGGTGGAGTCCTGGCACTGCCTGACACAGGGCTCATTGCAGCTGTTGGCCAGCGGGGTGGGGCCGCAGGGCTGGCAGGGCCGGCACGGGGTGTAGCAGGACATGTCTTGAGCTTGGAGCTGCACCTGGAACAGAGGACAGAGAGCAAACAGAGCACAAGGGTGGATGGGTGAAGAGCAGCCTGGTTATCCCATCACAAAACTGCAAAGGCCATCCATGAGTGGATGCTGGAGACTGTGCCAGCAGCCACACAGTCTTCATCGCCTCATCTGGCCAGGGCGCTACTAAGAGCCTGGCCCAAGGAAGCAAAGCTCTCTTCTGGTGCAAAAACCAAAAGCCACCACAGTCGTGTCCCAGTCTCTCTCTGTGCCAACCTTCTCCCCGCTTTCATCTCTCATGAAAAAGCACTCCAAACCCCAAATATGAGAAAGCCAAAATCAGCTGAGATGTCCATCAAGTGATGGAGACCTCTGTTTGGAAGAGGAGGAGAAGGGGCTTCACACTCACCTGGTTCCCAAGCAGAAGGAGGCAAGAGAAGTGGATGAGAGAGCAGGGACTGGGGCTGCCTTTTATACCTGCCCTTCACTGCCTCAGGACCAGGGGCAGCCTTTCCAGAGGTAACAATTTCCCCACAAGCTCATCTTACATGCAAACCAGCACAGCTAATGATATGGGCTGTGCTTTCATTTCCTGCACTGCTGCCTTTTCATTTCCCGTTTTGTTCCATGCCCATTTCCCAATGAAGGCTTCTTCTGATCCCTGGGATTAAAGGCCCCAGGATTTCTAAAGCAGGAATGCAGCACTGCAGGTGGAAGATTCAGTTTATGTGCTGGATGGGACCAGAGCAGGCAAGTGATATATCAGTCTGGATCACTCTGGTGGGGTTGTTTGAATTGCTGTTCTAAAGAAGATGTTCCAGGAATCCTCAGCTGGATGCCCAAGGACTCCTCTTTATGAGGATGTGTCCTAAACTTCTCTTTCCCTCCCTATGGTCACTTCTTCCCTCTCCGTGTCCATGGACTGTGCTGCTGGCTCCAACCTGCATAACTCTGCCCTCAGGAAAAATTTCTGGCTGATTTTGACTCATCCCTTCTCTGTGCAGCCTGTGAGTACACAAACAATTCCCAGAGCTTGTGTGGGGCCTTGTTCTTCCCCACAATGCTTCTGCCCTGCCTTGGTTGTCCCCAGGTGTCCTCAGAGTCCACTGTGTGTTGTGTTCCTACAACATTGACTTTTACAGGGTAGAGAGGTGGGCCCATGCAAAGCTCATGAAGCTCAACAAGTCCAAGTGTAAGGTCCTGAATATTGGTTAGACCACTCCCATGCACAGGCTGGGTGGTGAGTGGACTGAAAGTAGCCCTGCCAAGAAGGACTTGGGGGTACTGGTGGATGAGAGGCTGGACATGAGCTGGCAATGTTGTTTGCAGCCCTGGAAGCCAATTGTATCCCAGGCTGCATCAAAAGAAGAGTCACTACCAGGTCAAGGGAGGTGACTCTTTCCCTCTCCTCCTCTCTTGTGAGACCCCAGCTAGAGTGCTGTGCCCAGTTCTGAGGCCCCCAACATAAGAGGGATGTGGAGCTCCTGGAGCAAGCCCAGAGAAGACCACAAAGACACTCAAAGGGCTGGAGCCCCTCTGCTCTGGAGACAGGCTGGGAGAGCTGGCAGCGTTCACCTGGAGAAGGCCCTAGGGACAACTTAAAGCCCCTTCCACTACATAAATGAGCTCCAAGAGAGCTGGAGAGGGACTTTTTACAAGGGCATGGAGTGACACGACAAGGAAGAATGTCTTCACACTGAAAGAGGATAGATTCATATTACTTATTAAGAAGAAATTCTTCCCTGTGAAGGTGGTGAGGCCCTGGCACAGGTTGTCCAGAGAAGCTGTGGATACCCCATCCCTGGAAGTGCCACACTGGCCACAACCTGGGCAGTCAAGGCCAGGTTGGATGGGGCTTTGAGGAACCTGGTCTAGTGAAAGGTGTCCCTGCCTATGTGGCAGGGTTGGAACTGATTATCGTTTAAGTGCCTTCAAACCCAAGCCATTAAATGATCCTATGATTCTATGAAATTTGAGAGGTGGTCTGAGGAGCGATTCCCTCTGTGCCACCACTTACACGTAGCTCTGATCTCAGCCTGCCCAGCAGTGGCACCTGGGAGCAGTGGGGAGGCAGGGCTGGGCTGGGCTGGCCTTCTGCTGTGAAACACTCATGCAACTTTTACAGCTGCTTCTAGATCCAGGGATTGTGATGATTAAAACTGTCCAAGAAACCTAACTTGGTGCAGATCCATTGGAAGGCTACACCATAAACAAGCCAAACCACCCTTGTCAATGCCCTCTGCTTAAAATAGGTAGTAAACTGGAGTACTCGGCAAGTAACCTACAGCTCTTCTTCCTGTTCCCTTTCCATGGGCCTCCACTGATGGCCACAGATGGGGAATGCAGCCTTTGGTAGGCCTTTGCTTTTATGGTTTTGCCATGTGGTTACAGTAGCCCAAGAAGTGAAGAGCCCTTCCTTGCCCTGCATCAGCAAGTGGAAAACAGTCACCAGCCAGACTCTGGACAACATTCCTGCACTCATCCACTGCCAGAGAGAGGTCTCACTCTTTTTCATGTATTTTCTTCTTCTCAGGGAAATCCCCAGAGCTGGAGGGAGCTCCTATGTTCCTGAGTCCATGCTAGTTTTTCTGTCCAACAGCTGGTAAGCATATCTCAGTGATCTTTCTTCCTCCCATGAGTGAAAGGAAGGGTTCTGGGAACACATTCTCAGCCAACAGCATTGCTTATGGAAGCTCAGCTTAGGGGTGCTGGCTTTCCAGGTGGATCCCACTCTTTGAATTGGAGTCTGTTGCACATGAAACATCATCCACTTCACTTGAGAAACCTAAGGGTACTTGTTTGTTTTCCTACTTTTCTTCCAGGGTGGTCTGCCTCTCCCAGGTGATGTAAGTCTGCTCTGACAGCCCTCTTTGAGGCTTTGCATGCCTCTGTTTATCTCAGAGAGCTTCAGGCAGTGCTGATGAGGAATTCACAGCATCTCTCAGTATCCTGCACTCTGCTGTGTCTCGGATTTCTTGGACATTCCAGCTCTAGCTTTTTGTTGCTCTCCAGGGCTGCAGAGGGCTTCAACACTCCACAGACACAATTCTCCCCAAATTGCATCATTCCCAGGCAAGAATGACAAGCAGTGATGTCTACCTGAGGATAAATCCAATCTCAGGCTTTTTCTGCAGCCTCAGAGGGCTGTGCCAGGGATTTTCCCAAATGCCACTGGGAAAGAGAGCACAGCTGACAAGGGTGGGACTCAGCCTGTCCTTGGGCAGTGGTGCCTGGGCCTGGATGCAGGCCGAAGAGCCAAGTGCCCAGGCGGATCCAGGAGGTTGGTGAATCTCCCTAGAAGTGCCTTTGCTTCTAGAAGGAGTAGATGTTCAGTTCAGACTCAATCATCTCAGTTGGGGAGCTCCACACTCAGGTGAAATCAATCCCACACTCTCCATAAAGGCGTGTCTGTCATGCTGATGCCTCCTCTTTATGAAGTGGCCACATGGACTCTTCACGGTCAGTGTGCAGAAAGAAAAGCTTTGAGAACATGACTAATCTGTTCTGAAATGAAAATTGGGAGGGAAAAAGCAAGTGGCCTTTGGAAGTGCTAATATCCTCCCATTGAGTGTGAAGGGAGACTTGCTTCCCAGCCAGCCTTCCAAAGCTCTGCAGTCTGAACACTTTGCCGTGACATTACAGTTTTTCCACAACAAAGACCAAAATGGGCTGTTAAAAATGATGTGGGTTTTAGATGTGGAAATGATCTGACCCATCCAGTGTGAAGCACACTATTTTGCATATTTTTAATTAAAATTAAAAGAGTAGATTCAGATATTAAGGAGAGGAAAGAAGAGGAATTATGTAAAATTTGTTTACAGTCTTATGCTAGGAATAGTGACTGCAGGTAGAAATATTAGACATTGTCAAATTTTATCTTGAATCAGAGTATGATTCAATGAAATAGCCACAAGAATGGGGCATAGATACATCCAGAAAACATCAGACTAAATGGAGAAACGCATCTATTTCCTAAACAGTGAGCCAGTTGCAGGGATTTCTTTAGGGGATTCAGACAAACCCTGACAAGATGAAGCACTTGGCAAACTAGAATAGAAACCTGTGATAGGACCACTCCTCCAGCTCTGTTAGCTTATTGATGGGGCTTGTGACCCTTTCCAAGCACTGCTCTTTAAAGCACTGGGAGGCATGCTGGATTCACCTCAGAAGGAACAGAGGGTGGTGGGAGCTGTAGAATTGAGGCTCAGCCCAACTTGAGCTGGCTGTGAGTGAGATGAGCTGGGGAACTGGAGGCTTCTCACTGCCTGGGGTGCCCACACACACACTTACACTCTGTGAGGATCCTCTGCAGAGCAGAAGTCAGGGGAGGGAAGGGATCAATCTGTTTGCTCACACTGGGGCCTTTTGAAAAGCCACTTCACTTCTTCTGGAAAGCCCGTCCCAGAGCTTGCTTCACTTCTTTGTTTCTGAGTGTGTAAATGAAGGGGTTTAACAAAGGAGTTACCACCGTGTTAAAGGTATTCACGAGTTTGTTCAGACCCAGGGAATTCTGGGCTGATGGTTTGACATAGAGGAACATGGTGGAGCCAAACCAGATGGTGACGACACTGAGATGGGCAGAGCAGGTGGAAAAGGCCTTTTTCCGGCCATGGACTGACTGGATCCTCAGGATAGAAGAGATGATGTACATGTAGGAGACCAGGGTGACCACACAGGAAGCCACCACAACAATTATGGAGACAAGGAACGTTGCCAGCTCCACGGACCATGTATCACTGCAGGAGAGGGCAAGGCAGGAATCTATATCACAGAGAAAATGATTGATGACATCTGGCCCACAGAAAGTCAGCCTGGATGTCAGAAAGGCCAGCAGGGAGACAGCCAGAAAACCTCCCAGCCAGGAGCTGAGCACCAGCCGAGTGGAGAGGCCACTGTTCATGAGGGAGCTGTATCTCAAGGGGTAGCATATGGCTAAGTAGCGGTCATAGGCCATGACAGACAGTAGAAAACACTCAGTGGCTCCTAGAGAGAGAAGAAAGAACAACTGGAGGATGCAGACCCTGAAGGAAATGGTCTGGCTGGTCCCCAGCATGACTCCTATGGCTTTGGGAACAACACCCGTAGTGTACCAGATCTCCAGAAAGGAGAGATTGCTGAGGAAAAAGTACATTGGGGTGTGTAGGTTGCTGCTCATCCACACGAGACCTATGATGGATGCATTGCCTATTACTGTCAGGGAGTACATCAGTGCAAACACCACCACAAGGGACACTCGGGAATGCCATGTGCCTGGGAAGCCAAGAAGGACAAATTCTTCCACATTTGTCCCATTTGCCATGTCCTTCCATCTGTTGAGGTCCATCTGCAAAGAAAGAAAAGTTTCTCTGAGTTTGCTTGCCTGTGCTGGCTCTTCAGATGCTACTGGTAATGAAACAAAACCACCATCCCTGAAAATTCACAGTATGCAAAAACGGCATCTATCCTCAGTTAAAATTGTCAGGGAAATCCTCCTCTGCTAAAACATGTTTGGACAACTAGATCTGATCCTGAAAATCAGGCCTACGCCAGCAAATGAACATTTGGAAAATTATTTGTTGGATCAGGTACCTCATCTAGAAGACAGTAAATGTAGTCACTTCTGTGAGATAAGAAACCAACATAGGAAAGTATGGACAGCAGGCTGAGGCTCTCCAGCCATAGGAAAAGCCTTTGCAAGTCAGATTTCTGCTGACCAAGTTGAAATATCTAACATGAAATACTGCTCAAGGACTCCTGGTCTTGTATATTTGCTTTCTTCCAGGTCTCAGCACAGGAAGCTTTGGTAAATATCTCCATGTCCTCCACTGATCTCTGCTTCTCAGCAGAGCTGCTAGAGGTAGGATTCACCTCTTTGTAATTTTGCCATCCCAGGTTCAGGGGAAGAATTTCTACTGACCAAGCTGAAGTATCTATGGATACCTCAGCTCCTCAGCTTACCCCCCTTCTTTCTCCATGGACAGAGAAAAAGCATGAGCGACACATGGCTCATTTTGCCTCGTATACAGGATAAAAGCCCTCTAGAAGTGCCAGGTTGTCTCTGAGGTCTAAGGCAGGAGTTTGGTGAGCACCTTAGATGGATGTCGCACATCTCAACTTGTGCAGAGGTATTCCAAGCCTCAGTGATTGAAGGCAAAATCCTCTGAGGTGAATTCCATTTAAGGGAGCTCTGCTGAACTGCAGGGTATAATTTATATCCTCCCTGCAGACAAGGCAGGATTCTTCATCAGTTGTCTAGGGGAGTACATATGTCATTCTCAGGTGATTGTGTAAGACAATGTTGCTGAAACACCATCTAAAGGATTTCTTTCTCTCCTATCTTCCTCACAGCAATATGTACCAGAAATCTCATGTATTTAAAGGGTAGAGAAATCCTCCTTAATCCAGCTCTCCTTAAACATGCAAGGCAGTGGAAGTCTATACTCGATGTCTTGGGCAGGCTTTACTCACCACAGCTGCCAATGGAAGTGATCCAAATGACATCTTTTCATGCACCATCCTCCCGAGGAAGCCATGGTCCCCTTGGCTAAAGGAGAGCATTGGAGACAGGTAGATTTATTGGGGGAACTCTGGGTTTGGTGATGTTAGGAGATGAATGGAGGAGCAGCTCTCACCTTGCTGACTCAATTCAAGCTGTACACAACTGCCTGGCCGAGTTTCATCTCCATCCACCTGCTAGGAACTGACAGCTTGTGCTCCTGATCTTTTCCCTCTCACAGCCACCACTGCACTTCCACTAAAAGGAGCTTTGTGTGCACACACAGAGTGTAAACTCTCTTTAGTTTAGCTTCATATGGTGAGATCATACCCCAGAGAGTCGCCAGCATCATTAGCATGAGAACATCCCCACACCCTCCTCATTAACACACTGAAGCTTGAGCTGGCCACACCTGGGAGACGGTTCTCTGTTTTCCTTCTATGTGCCACAGGGAGTTTGACCTTTGGGAGGCCTTAGGGGCTCGTCAGAGATGGATAGTACTCTCTCTTCCTCAGGCCAATTAAAGAACAGCAGTGCAATTCCCTAAGTGCCTATTTTCTGGGTGTTTGCTTCCTGCCTGCAGCTGTGGTATGAGAACCTTGTCAGGAACTCAGTGCTCTCTCGTGTATCCATTTGCTGACATGCAGATGTCTGAAAGTCATGTCCCAAGAGACTGGAAGTGTCAAGTATTTGGTGATGGATACTAAGGTGGTTGTGAAACCTCCAGGGTGGGAGATAACTAAAGGCAACTATGGGCACATGAATACAGAGGCTTTAAGGGATTCACCTACCTCATTTCAGAGCCTCTAAATGTAGTTAAGGCCTATGTCTTCAGT